GATGAATCGACAGAGGGCGGCGGACTCCCCCTGGCCCCCAAGAGGCCCCCGAGATCGCAAGACCGCCCACGACGCCTCCAACATGGCCCGAGACGGCCCAAGAGGCCCCCAAGACGGCCCCAAGATGGCCCCAAGAGGCCTCCAAGACGCCCAAGATGGCCTCTAAGACGGCCCCGAAGCGCCCCAAGAGGACCCCAAGTCGGCCCAGAGAGGCCCCCAAGACGGCTCCCGACGGCGTCGGACGTGCCAGGAACCCACCAAGATGGCGGAAGTTGGCTCGAAGCTGGCCCAAGACGGCCCAAGAGGCCTCCAAGAGGGCCTCCAGGAAGGCCAGAAAAGGCCAAAAACACGTATTGTCCTTAGGTTTTTGAAGTAGGTTGACATTTGCTTCTTCTCGGCATTCCAACGGCTCAAGACAGCCCAAGAGGCCCTCAAGATCGCCCCAAGATCGTCCACGAGGCCTCCAAAATGGCCCCATGAGGGCCAAAAAGGCCCCCAAGACGGCCCCAGCGAGGCCCCCAAGACGGCTCCCGACGGCGTCAGACGGGCCAGGAACCCACCAAGATGGCCGAAGTTGGCTCGAAGCTGGCCCAAGACGGCCCAGAGGCCTCCAAGAGGGCCCCCACGAAGGCCCGAAAAGGCCAAAATCAGTGATTTCCCCTGAATGTTTTAAAGGATTTTGGCAGTTGCTTCTTTCGGCCTTCCGACGGCCCGCGACGGCCCAAGAGCCCCTTAAGATCGCCCAAAGATCGCCCAAGAGGCCTCCAAGATGGCCCCAGAACCGCCCAAGAGGCCCCCAATACGGCCCCAAGAGGCCCCCAAGAGGCCCCCAAGACGGCCCAGGAGCCTTTTTAAGACGCCCAAGATGGCCTCCAAGACGGCCCTGGAGCAGTCCAAGAAGGCCCCAAGCCGGTTCAGAGAGGCCCCCCAAACGGCTTCCGACGGCGTCAGACGGGCCAGGACCCCACCAAGACGGCCGAAGATGACCCTAAGATGGCCCAAAACGACCCAAGAGGCCTCCAAGAGGGCCTCCAGGAAGGCCCGAAAAGGCCAAAATCAGTGATCTCCCATGAGTTTTGAAGGATTGTGGCATTTGCTTCTGTTCGGCCTTCCGACGGCCCGCGACGGACCAAGTGCCCCCAAAGATCGCCCAAGAGGCCCAAGACGGCCCCAAGAGGCCCCCAAGAGGCCCAAGAGGCCTCCAAGACGCTCAAGATGGCCTCCAAGACGGCCCAAGAGCCCTCCAAGACGTCCTCCAAGAAGGCTCGAAAGAGTCCAAATAGCCTCCAGACGGCCAAGATGACCTTCAAGATGCCCACGTGTTCCCCGAAGGCTTTCCAAACCGATTCGGGGAACACATGGTCCGATAGCTTGGCAGGTCTGGCCTCAACGTTCGGCCACATAGGCGCTTCCAAAAAGGCAGGGGGCGGCGGTGATTCGCCGTAGGCGTCTTCGATCCGCCGCCCCCTGTCGATTCATCGCAGGAGTGCCTGGCGTGCTGAACCCTTCGGTTTTGGTTCTGGTTCTTTTTCCGACAGAACTCCCCCTGGGGCTTCGGCCCGTCCCGCCGGCCACCCGGAAAGGACCTCAAGGAGCACAATTCCCCAATTGTTCGCTCAAGATGGCCCAAGATGGCCTCCAAGATGGCCATGTTGGCCCAAGATGGCCTCCAAGATGGTCCAAGATGGCCTCCAAGTCCGCCCAAGATGATCCAAGACGGCCTCCAAGATACCTCCAAGGTCGCCCGAGAAGCCTCCAAGACGGCCCAAGACTACCCAAGAGGCCTCCAAGAGATCCTGCAGGAGGGCTCGAAGATGCCAGAATCATATGTTTCCCCTAGGTGTTTGAAGGACTTGGGTATTTGCTTCTTCTCGGCACTCCGACAGCTCAAGACGGCCCAAAAGGCCCCCAAGATCGCCCCAAGATCGCCCACGAGGCCGTCAAAATGGCCCCATGACGGCCCAAGAGTCCCCCAAGACGGCCCCAAGAGGGCCCCAAGAGGGCCCCAAGAGGCCTCCAAGACGCCCAAGATGGCCTCCAAGACGGCCCCGAAGCGCCCCAAGAGGGCCCCGAGTCGGCCCAGAGAGGCCCCCCAAACGGTTTTCGACGGCGTCAGACGGGCCAGGAGCCCACCCCAAGATGGCCGAAGTTGGCTCTAGGCTAGCCCTAGACGACCCAAGAGGCCTCCAAGAGGGCCTCCAGGAAGGCCCAGAAAGGCCCAAATCAGTGTTTTCCCATGAGTTTTTGAAGGATTTTGGCATTTGCTTCTGTTCGGCCTTCCGACGGCCCGAGACGGCCCAAGAGCCCCCAAGATCGCCCCAAGATGGAGGCCTTTAAGACGCCCAAGATGGCCTCCAAGACGGCCCTGGAGCATTCCAAGAAGGCCCCAAATCGGCCCAGAGAGGCCCCCCAAACGGCTTCCGACGGCGTCAGACGGGCCAGGAGCCCACCAAGACAAGGCCGAGGATGGCCCTAAGATGGCCCAAGACGGCCCAAGAGGGCTCCAAGAGGGCCTCCAGGAAGGCCCGAAAAGGCCCAAATCATTGATTTTACGCCAAGAGTTTTTGAAGGATTGTGGCGTTTGCTTTTTTCGGCCTTCCGACGGCCCGAGACAGCCCAAGAGCCCCCAAAGAACGCCAAAGAGGTCTCCAATATGGCCCCAGAACGGCCCAAGAGGCCCCCAAGACGGCCCCAAGAGGCCTCCAAGACGCTCAAGATGGCCTCCAAGACGGCCCTGGAGCACCCCAAGAAAGGCCCAAGTCGGCCCAGCCACGCCCACCGTGTTCCCCGAACGCTTTCCAAACCGATTCGGGGAACACTTGGTCCGACAGCTTGGCAGGCCTCTGGCCACAACCTTCGGCCACGTAGGCCCTTCCAAACAGGCAGGGGGCGGCGGTGATTCGCCGCAGGCGTCTTCGATCCGCCGCCCCCTTGTGGTCTTGCCGTAATCGGGCCGGGCGAAAGGGGGGGATAGCAAAGGGGGGGTTTGAGAATCAGCTCACGGAGCTGATTTTCCCGGCGCCTCCTGGCGCCGGGAGGCGGCTATGTATCGAGGAATGGGCACCTCGGTGGGGCCGAAACCAACTGCATGCAGCAAATTTCGTAACCCCCCCTTTCCCAATCCCCCCCTTTCGCCCGGCCCGACATAAGGGTGCCTGGCGTCCAAGGTCCCGCTGATCTGGTTCTGGTTCTTTTTTCAAAGAACTCCCCCTTGGGGCTCAGGCCCAGCGCGCCGGCCACCCGGAGTGGCCCGCGCGCTGCGCCGCCAACGTCTCCAAAAACGGCCGTCTCGCTGCAGGGCAGTTTTTTTTAGGCATAGGATGTTTTAAAAAAAGATAAGATGTGTAACACATGATTAACGCATGAATGAATATATGCATGAACTCATCGTTGTTTTTAATGCTGAATCCTTGCATGTTTAATACATGATCCGCACGCGAAGCATGTGTTAAAAACGGCACTGTACGGACATCATCAAACAATCGTGATCTTGGAGATTCTAGCCCAAGACGCCTTATGATAAGAAGGAGCATTTCGCATGAGGGATCATCGGACAATGGCGATGTTGAAATCGATGGGCTCATCTTAGGATCTTCCAGAGTGACCATTTCGCTGCAGACATCCTCAACAACCATGTAGTGCTGCAAAAGATTGGATCGAGATCATGTCGGAGCGATCTCGGATGACCTCCACGATGGCCCAAGAAACGAAAGTGTTGAAAAACTCGGGGGATTTGTCACACCGTTGTTCACAAGTAAGCGTTTCGCTCGAGACATTCCCTGAAAACTGCCTTCGGACGGGTCCTCCTCCTCCTCCTCCGCCTCCTCCATTCCTTCTCCTTAAAGATAACTCTTCCCTGTCGCACCCCGACACCAATTTTTAGGGCGGGCCGGGCGTTTCGCCTGAGTCTTCCTCACCGCTTATGACTCTGAAGCTGAAGAAGTGAACAGATAAACAGATGAGGGCGGGTGGTTTTCAAAATGTAACTCTCGCCTTAGCACCGCGCGCATTCGTTTTAGAAATTGCAAAAGGCTTTACGGATTGAGGGCGGTTCCTTTTCAAAATGTGGCTCTCGCCTTAGCGCCGCGCACACTCGTTTAAAACATTTGCAAGAATTTCACGGATTGAGGGCGGGCCGTTTTCAAAATGTGGCTCTCGCTTCAGCGCCGCGCATATTCGTTTTAGAAACTTGCAAGAATTTCACGGATTGAGGGCGGGTCGTTTTCACAATGTTGCTTTCGCCTTAGCGCCGCGCACATTCGTTTTGAAGAATTTGCAAGAGCTTCACGGATTGAGGGCAGGTCGTTTTCAAAATGTGGCTCTCGCCTTAGCGCCGCGCATATTCGTTGAAAAAATGTGCAAGAGTTTCACGGATTGAGGGCGGCTCCTTTTCAAAATGTGGCTCTCGCCTCAGCGCCGCGTACATTCGTTTTAAAATTTGCCCACGATGAACGTACCAGGAATGGTGGTTAGGAAGGATTCTGGATTATGCGGGCGCAACACAGTTATGTGGACTCGCTGTGTTGAAGTCCCAAAATGGCGTTCTGGCACGATTCTGGATCGTCAAGACGCAGCAGGTCAGGTTGATACGTGGCGTTGAAATCCCGAGAACAATGTTTTGGCACGCGTCAGGATCTTCAAACTGTTGTCTTCCAACGAGGCAGTTCCCTCAATGGAAACGAACCGTTGTAGGGGCCTATGAAGAGGGAGCTTGGAGGGAGGGTTAATTCCAACATCGTTGATGCCTCTTGGGTTTCCATTGGTCCTCCTCCTCCTCCTCCTCCTCACCCTCCTCCTCCTCCCCTCCTCCTCCTCCTCCTTCCCCTCCTCCTCCTCCTCCTCCTCCTCCTCATCCTCCTCCTGTCTATTTGTCCTCCCTCTCCGCTTCTTCTTTCTCCCCCGCGTGTTCCCCGAAGAGCTTCCACAACGGCTGGGGGAACACATGGTCTGATGGCTTGGCAGAGCTCTGGCCACGACGTTCGGCCACGTGGACGATTTTTGTTCCGCTCTGGCGGCCCTGATCAAGTCGCGATGCACAAGGGCAATGGTGAAACAATAAAATACTCTGAAAGATAACTTAACGTTTCAAAGGTCAACTCTAATACAAATTGAATAACTCGCAGTGTCAATCGCGGTCAACTCAGCGTGGAAAGAACTCTCAGCAAACAACATGAAACGACCTCTGTATCCAGCCCTGGTAATATTTCCGGTGCGCGGCTCCACCGCATGGACCACGAAAGCTGCAGAGCCGACTGTTCCAACATATCCTCCGTCGCAGTGGACCTGCAGACACTGACGATTCCGCACGGCTGCAACAACCATGTCTACATCCATGTCGCTCATATCGGCTCGTGACGACAGAATCCAATCGCCCACATGGCCGATTCCAACAGGCACGGGGCGGCGGTGATTCGCCTTAGGCGTCTTCGTATACAAGAGCGTTGTGTTTGAGACGTGCTGCGTGAGCGAGCCCATTCTGGAGCGGAGGCGGCCCAGAAATCCTCTGCGAGGCTCACCAAGCGTAACAGCATGCACAGGCAGGCACAGTAGTCAGGATCGCCAATCATCAAAGCGTCCTGTGCCACAGCCCAGTCGTTGCCAACCGCACAGACAGTACCCACTCTGACAGGGCCGCCGCCGACATCATCGTCTTCTTGTGCTTCAGGGTACGCTCGAACAGCCTGAGGACCAAGGTCTCGTCCCCCTCACAAGTGAAACGCGTGCGCTTGAATGCCTCGCGAAACCCCTCCACTGAGTCTGCGTTCATCATCTTGCCAGTGTAAACCAGGTTCCCCGGACCCCTGTGGTGGGGTCTCCCATAGTGTGAAAGAGCCTTTCACTCCTGAATAGAAAAACAAGCAACTGCATATACATAGACTTGTGAAGCTCCGCGAAGATTTCTTGGATCTGCGCTGAACCCCTCCCGCTGGCGCGCGGAACGCGCCAAGGGGCTCAAGCGCAGATACGAGAAAACCGCGCGGAGCTCCGACTATTCCGCGCCTATGCCATATGTGAGCCCCAAAGTGATCACTGAATCAGCCACCTGCTTGTCGGAAAGTGTCGAAGGCGAGCCTGGGTAAACTGGAAATCCAGCGTTTCTTGATGAGCGTTCGGGGGGCGCTGCCACCAACGACAGTCCCAGCGCGACCCCCCCACGAGCTGACTGCGCCACAACTCTCGCGGCGCCCGGCGCCGTCAAGGCGGCCAAGACTGCACCAGGACGGTTTCAAACTGCTTTAAGTTATGCCCCAAGACGGTCCACGACGCCCCAAAAAGCCGCGCGACTGATCTACATGGTAGCCAACGTGGACCCAGAACAACATGTTTCTAACAATATTTGTCGAAAATGTTTGTGGAATGATATATGAGATGCCACATAGGAGGTGCAACGTCTGCAGTACAACCTATTTGATTCGATCCATACGGTGCGATCAAAATTGTGCCTTTTTCTTATGGTGTACAATACAGGTCGCGCGGTCCATGTTTTGCAATATCTGGTGGGCAACCGGCGTGAAGCAATCTAAGCGGTGCAAATGTATGTGGTGTTCTAGTGGCGGTGCTATATACGCGGTGCCATATTTCAGGTGCGACCTATGTTGTGCAACCTACGTAGTGCAATCGACTTGGTGCGATCTATGATGCGACCCACGGTGTGCACTCTAGGTGGTGCAATCCACGTGGTGTAGTATATATATATATATATATATATATATATGTGTGTGTGTGTGTGGTGCAATCCATTTGGTGCAACTTACAAGATGAACTGAAACAGCCTTTGCCTTTGCAAACATCCCACCCACCAACCCGCAATGTGGTGTGTTAAACCGATGCGGCGGCGATTGCAATGAGTGTTTGGTGTTGGCTGCTGCACCTCTGCGGCCGCGCCAGGTCGCGCACGCTCGCTCGCACAGCGGCCAACTAGTTTGGCGCGACCGACGCGGCCGCAACTGCGCTGACCGCTGGGTACTTCCCAGCGGGCATTGTAGTGCGAATCGGTGACTTGGGCGTGCGTCGTATCATGGCGACGCCGACAACGGTTGACGCGATTACGAGGGCGGCGACAATGGTGACGACTGTGGCGATGACGACGACAAGGCCAATGACGGTGCAGATGTTGATCACGCCCGCCGGTAACGACGACGATGTCCTCGCGTCGGCGATGAAAGTTTTTGAAAAAAAATCGACATGCGCGGGCGACCGACACGCGCGGGGGGCCCGCGTGGGATTATTTGACACAAATCGTGCCCTCCAGCACGCGCGCAAGGGCGGCCCCCACCCGCCGGCAACTTGGTTTGCAAAACCCATGCGGCGGCGATTGCGATGAGTGTTCGGCGTTGGCTGGTGCATCTCTGCGGCCGCGCTAGGTCGCGCACTCTCGCGCGCACAGCAGCCAACTAGTTTGGCGCGACCGACGCGGCCGCACTGGTGGTGAACCGCTGGGCACTTCCCTGCGGGCACTTCAGTGCGAATCGGTGACGTGGGCGTGCGTCGTATCATAGCGACGCCGACAACGGTTGACACGATTACGAGAGCAGCGGCGATGGTGACGATGGTGGCGATGACGATGGCAAGGCCAATGACCGCGCTGATTTTGATCACGCCCACCGATAACGATGACGATGTCCTCGCGTCGGCGATGAAGGTTTTTGAAAGAGTTCGACACGCACGCGGGCGCGGCCGACGCGCGCGAGTGGCCCGCGTGGTCTTATTTGACACGGATCGCGCCCCCCCCCCAGCACGCGCGCAACGGCGTTCGAATGAGTTCGACATGCGGCGCGGGAAGCCGCTTGGCAGAATTTGATGAACATGTTGAGAACAAGTGGTTTTGATACGATTCCGCAAAAGCGCGGGCGCAGTTGTTTTTTTAACCTGCTGTTGCAAAACCCTGTGTTTTGCTTGTTTTCGGAACACCGATGTTTTGAAATCCCTGCGAAACTTAAGGTTTTTGGAAGGTTTCGGCACGCGCTCGCGCGACGACGCGATGGTGCGCACTTCGTTCCATGCGTTTGCAAGGGATTCTTGGAAACTGATGAAGTGTGATCAACGTGCGCGCGCATAAAATCTGTTGCAAAAGATTGGGTGTGGGGGGGGGGGGGGGGGGGGGCGAACTCTGGCCTGGCTGGGATGGTATGAACTCAAAAGGAAAATGAACAAGGAGGCACTATCAGATCAAAATTGCAGCGCGCGCGGCAGGCTTGATGAGTCAGGGGAGGATGGGGGTATAATTTTATTGCTTCTAAGGAAGGAGAAGATACGCGATGCACTCTATGCGAGGCGGCGACGTGTCGGCAACAATCTCGACGGGGCGCACGGAGCTGCCAGATCGACAATCAGAGCCAGACGACGGGCGGCGATTAGGCGGCGACGGCGCGCACGGAGCCGCCAGACCGACAGACAGGGCCAGACGACGGGCGGCGATGAAGCGGCGACGGCGAGCACGGAGCCGCCAGGCCGACAGTTAGGGCCAGTTCCTGAGACCAGACATAAGACATGGAAGCAACCCAGATGATTTCCGGTATATGTCAACTCCCGAGACTTCTCTGCTTCAGATGACTGCAGGAAGGCGCCCGGGAGCCCCACGACGCCTCCAAAACGCCGCAAGACGGCCCCAAGACTGCCGCCAAGACCGCACCAAGATCCGCGGGGACTGCCGAAACTTCATTCTACCGAGCTCTCGAACCCCCAACAAGTCCCGAAAAGCCTCCCAGAAGCTTCAAGACACCCCCAGAGACAGCCCCAAGATGTCCAAGGAGGCCTCTTGCGAGGCCCTTGGAGACAAAAAATCATCCGATTCACTTTGGCCTCAGACGTGTCCAGAAACTCTACGAATTCCACGAGACGCCCCCAGACGGCCCCAGAACGCCCCCTAGACGACCCCAAGACAGCTCCAAGACGACGGCCCCCGGACCCCTCAACAAGCCCCGAAGAGACCCCCCACAATGCTCAAAATGCCACCGAAAGCTGCCTCAAGACAGTCGAAGAGCCCCCCAGCAGCTGCAAGGTGCCCTGGCACACGGCCTCGCAACGCCGAAGACGAAGGAGGCCTTCACATCGATGCAAGGGAGCCACATTCACATGGACCAACAACATATGGATGCCTAGTATGTTAGCTCCCGCAGCTGTTCGGCTTCGGGAACGCGCCCTGGAGCGTCACAAAGCACCCGAAACGCTCTTAGCCAGGCCCCCAAGACAGGCCAAAGACGGCCCCGAGAGACGGTTCACTAACGCTCCGAAAGTAGAGGCATACTAGATGGGGTCCGAGTAGATGTGGTCGGAGGATTGTACCGCATCGCCAATGTATCGCCGATGCATCGGCGATGCATCAGCGACATCGGCGATGCCTCGGCGACATCGGCGTGGAGAAAATCGAGCTCCACATCGAGCCGCATCGCCGATGTATCGGCGATGCATCGGCGATACGGCGATCCTCCGACCCCATCTACTCCGACACCATCTGGGAGGCCTAAAGAAAGAAGGCCCCCAGACCGCACCGACATCTTCCCGGGCGGCGCAACAACTGTCCGACCGAGCCTCTTCCCAGGTCAGCTAATTTCGCGCATCGCGCCCAGCGATGCGCGATTCTCTCCTCACCATCGCGCCCTCGCGGCACCCCCTTGGAGAAGGGCCACCAGTCTTACCCAGACCGCGACGCGCGAAGCTCGGTGATCGCGCCCGCCGGGAATGACCCAGTCTGCGAGAGAGCCCATCACGCTCTTCACGGTCAAATTCTGCCCCCAGACCCCCTGCAAGCCCCCCCGAGCACCCCAGGAGCCCGCAAATCCCCACGAGGTCAGCCGGAAGGCGCCCGCCATGAGGCCCTCAAGGGGCCCCCGACAGAGGCCGTTTGGGTTTACGCATCACGGCACGAACTTCAGCGCTGCGCACCACCAACATAACGAGAAGAGGCCAGTGCTGCACCACCGCCGTCCACTATAATGACACAGACGACAAGAACAAGAGGAATAGGAGAGGAAGAGGAGTAGGACGATGAGGAGGATAAACAAGAGCAGCATCGCGAGTAAGCACAATACGATTAGGAAGAACATGAGGAAACGCTTAAAGGGGAAGGGGACGGGGAGGGGGACGGGGAAGAGGAGGAGCAGGCTAAGGATGGTGGGGGAGAGGAGGGGAGGCAAAGGAAAAAGGCGAGGCAGAGGTGTGGTGGAAGAGAAATGTGGGAACCTAAACAGGACTGATATCGCTACTCCTCGGACCTCTCCCAGGCCGCATTCTGACCAGGACCTCGAGGCGAATCCAGATGTGCCGACAATGGCTTCCCAGGAGGCCGAAAACAGTGGGAAACGGGGAAGGGTAGCAGTATCCGTACCTTCCCAGACATGAGGAGGCCTGATCTGTTTGAATACGAGGCTCCAGGAAGTCCCGACCCTCTCCCCATGGTTGGCTTTTCGTCCTGAGTCGCTGCTTGACGGTCCTGGGGCCTGGTAAGGGCCCCCGGAAGCCGAAAATCACGAAAATCCGCCCTTCGTTTTTTTCATCACGTGAGGGTGTCTGGGTTCCTTGCCCTAGGAACAGATAGGGGGCAACAAGCGAACCCTACCCCTACCCCCCACGATTTCTGAGGGGGAGGGCGGGGTTCACTTCTTTCGGGAGGTCACGAGCGAAGTGAACCCCACCCTCCCCTTAAAAAATCGTGGGGGGTAGGGGTAGGGTTCGCTTGTGGCCCTAGGAACAGAACCAGAGTTGCCTGCCCCACGGTGCAGCTCGCGAAGCGGAAAGGGGGATCTTGACCATGGGGCTGGTCTCCGAGTTTGCGATGTTCCCGTACGCCAGGGCGAGGGAGATCTCAAAAAAAACACCAGCCTTGGGTCAGGGATCGACCTAAACATGGTCTTCTTGTTTTCGTTCTGTGGTCTTTCTCCCCCCTTGTGTCTTCAATCCACCTTTACTGCTGAACGACATCGAAACGAACACGGCCCACAAAATGGCCAAAACCCCGTTTAGGTCGCTCCCTGCCTTCGGTGAATCTTTTTGGAAGCGCATTCTAGCGTACACCTCCTCAGATTGGTAGCCTTTAGCGGCCTTTACCGCATTGGTGTATAATTAGCGGCCTCTAGTGGCCTTCAGTCGCCTTTTAGCAGGTCTACAGTGGCCTTTGGCGGCCTTGAGCAGCCTTTGGTGGTCTTCAGTGGCCTTTAGTCGCCTCTACAAAAGTGCAAAGAAGTGTACGATGCATTCTAGAATGAGCTTCCAAAAAGACCCACTTAACCGGCCTCGTGAAAGGTACTCGTTGCTCATGCTGAGCGCGCGCGCTTGAGCACGGAAGGACAGCGATAGGGATGAACGTGGGGATGAGCGTATTGACTCTGACCTGTTGTCTCTCAAAGGCAATATTATCACAGGAACGCCCCCAACACTATAGAGCATCTCCATCGAATCCAGCGCCTTCTTGAATAGCAACTCATCAGTCTCGCTGCGGACAGCCGGGTGCTTGCCAGGCTCCGGCCACGCCCCAGCGAGCTCTAGGCGCTGCAAGTGCTGGTTCTGCATGTCGTGCTGCGGCAACCCCATATAATCTATAAATACGGCATCATCGTCGGACGCGCTCAGCAGGTCCAACTGCTCAACTAAGTCCTGCAGCTTCAACCCGTCGGGGTCGGGATGGTGTTTTGAAAACCAGGGGTGCGATACCGCGTACCGATGCTTGGGCTCGTCCCTGGAACGGGGCAAGCCCTCGCTGCCGATGACTGCCTCGGCAACGGGCACCTCCTGGCAACGCACCATCGTGGAGCCTGCTTCGGCCAGTCGCCGGAGATAACGGCATCGAACCCACTTGATCTGGGCGTCGTCCAGGTAAATGAGAAATTCGTGGTAGCGCTGCTGCAGCTCGCCCGAGCTATAAGGGTTCACCCTCTCGAAAGAGTCCACCGCCAACCGCCGGAACGATCGCGGCCCAGAAAGGCCGGAGAGACAGGCCACCTGCAGGCAGTTCATGGCGTGGTTGACGGCGTGAGCCCAGGCGCAGGCGTACCACAATCCATCATCGGAGGGGCTGCTGGTGGATAATACGTTGAGGAAGCCCTCCGCGCACAGCAGCAGTGTGGCCGCTAAGACCACTGCGGCCGTGAAGCGAACCCAGCGCACTTCCCCCTCCAGACCTGCGTGCCCAGATCCAGCGGCGCGCGCGGCGGTGATCAGAAGGCCCACCGTCCCGCAGCACGCAATCGTTATCGCGCCAAGAACGGCCATCAGCAGCCCCACACCAGCAGCCTGATGCAGCACAGCAGGCACGAGCCCAGCGTCTGGGTCTGGCCAGCCGACGGCAAAGAGTGTGGACCAGGCCAAACCCGCGATGAGCAGGCCCACCAGGCTGAAACGGAGCATGGCCCGAGCCATCCGCGCCGTCCAGCGGCGCCGCAACGTGCGGAGCCTCAGTATGAAAATGTGGAACGGGAGAACCAAAGTCGCGAAGTAGGTCCCGTAGAACAGCGCGGTGAACACTGCGCGCCACACCGCGCCCGCCGCGCCGTGGCACCCTGGGTCCAGGACAGGCTGGGCGAGCCAGGCCACCGCGGTAACAGTGGAGCACGCCCCAAAGCGCTGAGTCCACGCATGCAGCGGCACGGGGCGGGCGCGCCGGCGCACGGTGATGCACCAGGCCGCGAAGGCCAAGGACGTGGGCGCGGCCAGTGCGAAGAACGGCCAGGTTACGGCCCAATAGTCGCGGCCGACACGCAGGCCATCGTCCCAGCACTGACGTGCCGTGGCCAGGTAGTCCGCCGCGGGCCAACCGAGCGCCAGCAGCGCCAGGGCGAGCAGCGAAAGCCGAGCGACGAGCAGGCGGCGGGTGCCCTCCTGCGCACCTTCGTCGCCGTCGCTGTCGCGCGCATCGGCGGCACGGCGGGTGGAACCGCTGCCCGCCGTCTGTTCCCCGCTACTCACTGTCGGCGTGTCGGTGTTCATCTGGGTCACCAGCGCCAGCGGCGGAGCCGGGGCCTCCGCATCCAGACTCCAGACATGCGACGTCCTGATTATCTCGGCACGCGGTCCCCGAAGTCCCGACCCGTTGCCCGGGACCGGCATTCCATCCCGAATCGCTTTGACGGTCCCGCGGCCTGGTGCAAGGGCCCCCAGAAGACCCCAAACGGCCAACACCCACTTGTTCACGACGCGAGCATGTCTGCCGGAATCGGCACGGGGGTTGCCAAGAGCACAGGGGAGTTTCATCAGTGGATGTCACGGTGGGTGATCTCTGACCCAACCCAATTCGCACGTGTGTCAAACATGCCCCAACTGGCTCAGGGGGCTTAACGATCTGGGCAAACTGGGCTCCGCCACTCGGGGCACGTGTAACCCACGTAAAGAGACGAACCAGAAAAATGCATAAGTATAATTTGTTGGAGGTCCGCGCGGGTTTCTTGGGTCGGAGCTGGACCCCCATCCCTGGCGCGCGGAGCGCACAAGGGGCGGCGCTGGAGGCGCTGCCAGGGGGACCCAACGCTGGTCCGAGAAATCTGCGCGGAGCGCCGAATGCTGGATTAGGCCAGATGTGGCCCACATTGACATCCCTTGACAGCCACCATATCCCTTTCAAAACAGATCTCCCAAGTGGGGTCCGAATAAACAGGGTCAAGGATCGCACTGCATCGCGGATACATCGCGGGGCTGTCGGCGTGAAGAATACCGGGCTCCACATCGGCGATGCGATCCTCCGACCCCATCTACTCAGATCCCATCTGGCAAACCTATACCTTACGGAGGGGAGGAAACCTGGGACCAGGACCAAGACTTGATTCGGAAATGTCGTGTCCATCTTGATCACCGTCCACATTGGCTACCGTCAATTCGTGAGCCATCCTCCCGAATCGGCGACGGCTGGCATGGACCATGATGACCAAGACCGGCGTCGACACGATCCCACGAAGCTCGGCCACTCCGAAGGATGTCGCGCCCCCCAGGCCCCGTCGGCGCCGATCGCAAACCGCACCCCGGCAAAGAGACCGGTGCGGAAGTTCCGACGAACCCCCCCTGAAACCTTCCTGAGGAAGGTTTTAGGAAGGTTTTTTGGAAGGTTTTCCTGGGGGGGGGGAGCGAAGAAGGTTTCAAAAAGGTTTTCCCCGCCCGCCCGCCCGCCCGCCCCCCGCCGGCCCACCCGCTCGCGTGCCCGCCCGCCCGCCGTCATTATAGCACGCACCACCCTGTACTCAACTGCCTCCGTCTCCAAGACAAGACCCTGCAATCAACAGCCTCCGTCTCCAAGACAACGCCCAGTATTCAACAGGCTCCTGCTGCAGGAGAAAATCATTAAGGAGTCTGTTAAAATCCCCGCCCGCCCGCCCGCCGCCCGCCCGCCAGCTGCCGCCCGCCCGCCGCCAGCCCGCCGGCTTGCTTTCTTTGCAGCACGTACCGCCCTGTACTCAACTGTCTCCGTCTCCAAGACAACACCCTGTAGTCAACGGCCTCCGTGTCCGAGACAACGCCCCGTACTCAACCCTATTGAAGCCCAATACACATGGTTTCCTATTGAGAGCCTGTGCACAAGGATTTCTAATGAGAGCCTCGACAAAAGGATTCCTATTGAGAGCCTTTACGCATGGATTCCTATTGAAAGCCAACACAAAAGGATTCCTATTGACAGCCCCTACAAAAGGTTTCCCATTGAGAGCCTCTACAGAAGGATTCCTCTTGGAAGCCAATGCAAAAGGATTCCGATTGAGATTCTCTACACAAGAATTCCCATTAAAAGCCTCCAAAAAAGGATTCCTATTGAGAGCCTCTACGCAAGGATTTCGAATGAAACCCAATACAAATGGATCCCTGGTGAGAGCCTGTGCAAAAGGATTCCCGTTGAGAGTCTCTACGAAAAGGATCCGAATTGAAAGCCTCTACGCAAGGATTCTTATTGAAACCCAATACTACTTGATTCCGAGTGAGAGCCTGTACACAAAGATTCCTATTGAGAGCCTTGACATACATATTCCTATAGAGAGTCTCTACACAAGGATTCCTATTGAAAGGCAATACAAAAGGAGTTTTATTGAGAGCCCATGCAGAAGGTTTCCTCTTGAGAGCCTCTACAACAGGATTCCTGGAACATTCCAAAAAAAACCTTCCGAACACATTGTTCAGGAAGGTACCAGGATTCCTGGGACCTTCCAGACAACCTTCCTCAAAGCTTCCTCACGAAGGTTCCAGGATCCCTGGAACCTTCCAGAAAACCTTCCTAAAACCTTCTTCAGAAAGGTTCTAAGATTCCTGGAACCTTCCAAAACACCTTCCTAAACCCTTCCTCAGGAAGATGTTTGGAAGTTTTTTGGGCCAACCCCTCCTGGAACCTTCCTGAGGAAGGTTTGAGGAAGGGTTTTGAAAGGTTGTTTTTGAAGGTTGTTCGAAGGTGTTCGGAAGGTTGCTGGAAGGTGCTTGGAAGGTGTTCTGGAAGGTTTTTGAAAGGTGTTTGGAAGGTTTTGCTGGAAGTTTGTTTGGAAGGTTTTGGAAGGTTGTTGGAATGTATTGGGCGGTTTCGCTAAATGCTGGAAGGTTTTTGGAAGGTCGTTGCAAGGTCTTCGGAAGGTGCCTGGAAGGTGTTTGGAAGGTTGTTTGGGGGGGAGGAAGAGCAAAAAAAAAAAAAAAAAAAACTAAAACCTTCCTCAGGAAGGTTCTAGGACTCCGGGAACCTTCCAAAAAAACCTGCCTGAAACCTCCCTCAGGAAGGTTTTTGGCAGGTTTTTGGGCCAACCCCTCCTGGAACCTTCCTGAGGCAGGTTTTAGGAAGGTTGTTGGAAGGATGTTTGGAAGGTTGTTGGAAGGTGTTTGGAAGGTTTTGTTGGAAGATTGTTGGAAGGTTTTTGGAAGGTCGTTGGAAGTTTGCGTGCGTGTGCGTGTGTGTGTGTGTGGGGGGGGGAAGGTTTGTTCCGAAAGTTATTGGAAGGTGTTTGGAATGTATTGGGCGGTTGCGCTGAATGCTGGCAAGTGTTAGGAAGGTTTTGGGAAGGTGTTTGGACGGTGTTTTGGAAGGTGGTTGGCAGGTTGTAGGAAGGTGCTTGTAAGGTCTTTGGAAGGTTGTTGGAAGGTTGTTAGAAAAAACCGTCCTGAAACCTTCCTAAAACCTCCCTCAAGAAAATCCAGGATTCTGGGAACCTTCCCAAAAAACCTTCCTAAAACCTTCCTCGGGAAGGTTCTAGGATTCCGGGGACCTTCCAAAAAAAAACCGCCTGAAACCTTACTCCGAAAAGGTGTTTGAAAGGTTGTTGGGCCAGCCCTCCTGGAACCTTCCTGAGGAAAGTTTTAGGAAGGTGTTTGAAAGGTTTTGTGGTAGGCTTTTGGAAGGTGGGTGGAAGGTGTTGTTGGAAGGTGTTGTTGGAAGGTTGTTGGATGGTTTTGTTTTGAAAGGTTGTGGAAGGTTGTTGGAAGGTTTTTTTAGTAGGTTGTTTTGAAGGTAGTTGGAAGGTGTTTGGAATGCATTGGGCGGTTGCGCTAAATGCTCGCAAGTTTTAGGGAGGCTTTGGGAAGGTGTTTGGAAGCTGTGTTGTAAGGTGTTTGTCAGGTCTTAGGAAGGTTGTCGCGAGGTTGCTGGCAGGTTTTGTTCGGTTTTTGGAAGGTTGCTGGGAAAAAAAACCCTGAAACCTTTCGAAAACCTTCCGCAGGAAGGTGCTCGAAAAATGCTGGGACGGTTCTTGGGGGGGCAAAAAAAAACTCGCGGATAACATGCCTGAAACAACCTTCCTCCGGAAGGCTTCTGGAAGGTTTTTGAAGGGCTTTTAGAAGACACCTTCCTGAAACCTTCCTCAAACCTTCCCCGGGAAGGTTTTTGGAAGTGTTTAGAAGGTTTTTGAAAACAAAGAAAAAACCTGACCCCTTCCTAAAACCTTCCTCCAAAAGGTTATTGTGCGGTTTTTGGAAGGTGTTTGGAAAAAAACCTTCCTGAAACCTTCCTCAAACCTTCCTCCGGAAGGTTGTTGGAAGGTTTTTGGAAGGTCTGTAGGAAAAAACCGTCCTGGAACCTTCCAAAAACCTCCTCGGTAAGGATTTTGGAAGGTTTGTGGAGGGCTTTTGGAAAAAACCCTTCCTGGAACCTCCTTAACTTCCCCGGGAAGGTTTTTTGGGGGGAAGGTTTCTGGACGGTCTGTGGAAAACCTTCCTGGAACGTTTTTGGGGGGGTTTTGGAAGGTCGTTGGAACAACCCCCCTGAAACCATCCTAAAACCTTCCCCAGGAAGGTCCTGGGAAGGTTGTTGGAAGGTTGTTGGAAAAAAACCTTCCTGATACCTTCCTAAAACCTTCCTCGCAGAAAGGTGTTCGGAAGGTGTTTGGAAGGTTTTTTTCTTTTTTTACATATATATATATACATTTTTTACAACTTAAACAATTAATTTAAAAAACAAAAAAAAACTTCCTGGAACCTTCCCAGAACCTTCCTCGGGAAGGTTTTTGGAAGGTTGTTGGAAGGTTGGAAAAAACCTTCCTGACACCCCCCTAAAACCTTCCTCAGGAAGGTATTTGAAAGTTTTGGAAAGATGTTGGAAAAAACCTTCCTGGAACCTTCCTGCAATCTTCCTCGGGGAGGTTTTTGGAAGGTCGTTGGAATTTTAGTGGAAAAACCTGCCTGGAACCTTCCTAAAACCTTCCTCAGGAAGGTTGTTGGAAGGTGTTTGGCAGTTTTTTTTTTGGGGGGGAGAACTCCCTGAAACCTTCCTAAAACCTTCCTCAGGAAGGTGTTTGTAAGGTTGTTGGAAGGTGTTTGGAATAACCTTCCTGCAACATTCCTAAAACCTTCCTGGGGGAGGTTTTCGGATGGCTTGTGGAAGAAAACCTTGCTGCAACATTCCTAAAACCTTCCTATGGAAGGTTTTAGGAGGGTTTTTGGAAGGTGTTTGGAAAACCTTTCTGCAACGTTCCTAAAACCTTCATCGGGAAGGTTTTTGAAAGGCTTTTGGAAACAACCTTCCTGAAACCTTCCTAAAATCTTCCTCCGGAAGGTTGTCTGCAGGTTGTTGGAAGTTGTTTATTTGTTTTGACAACCCCCCTGGAACCCCCCTAAGGTTTTTGGAAGGTTGTTGGAAGAAACCTTCCTGATACCTTCGTGAACCTTCCCCAGGAAGGTCTTCGGATGATTTTTGGAAAGAGAGGGGGGGGAGAGAAAAAAAAAAAAAAAAAAAAAAAAAAAAAAACTCCTGAAACCTTCCTGAAACCTTCCTCACGAAGGTTGTTGGAAGGTGTTCGGAAGGATTT